CTCTCTCACACACACACACACACACACACACACACACACACACACACACACACACTGGACCCCTACAAGGCAGCCAGAGGCACTGAGCATCCCATGGGGGGCAGGGGAGGCACTGAGCATCCCATGGGGGGGGGGCAGGGCCTCTTATTCTCCTTAGGAGAGATTCTGAAAACCCCACTGGACCTCGTCCGCCTGTGGCTGCATGAGGCCGAACGGGTGTACGGCGACAAAATGGTAGACGAGAAAGACCAGGAGACGTTACACCGAGTCACCGTGGCCTCCACCAAGAAGTTCTTTGATGTAAGTCAGGCCAGCGGCCTCCCATGCAAGCTGGGGCCATGGTGAGTGCCCTTGGGGCCACCTTGGCCGAGAGCTGGGGCAGCTAGCTGACCCTGGTGCCAAAATATGGCAGAATCTCCGCTCCTATTTTGGTATGGATGTATCTGCACTCTTATTTCTAGGATCTCGGAGAAGACCTCTTATTTGCCAAGCCAAATATCTTCTGCCACTTTGCCCAGGGGATTGGCGATCCCAAATACTACCCTGTGACAGACACAGCTCAGCTGAATAAACTCTTGGTGGACGTCCTGGACAGTTACAACGAAGTGAACGCTGTCATGAACCTGGTGAGCGGGGCTGGGCCGTGGAGAGGACTTCTCTCCTGTCTCCCTGAAGAACAGTCCCCCTTGTCCTGGGGAGCCCCTGCCAAGACCCGAGTGCCTGTCCAGACCTGTTCCTTCCTACACATAACAACTTAGGATAAAGCAGTCTAGCACCTGTGGCTCGCGCCTGTAATCCTAGCCACTCAGGAAGCTGAGATCTGAGGAGCAGTTTGAGGCCAGCCTAGGCAGATGAATCTGAGTGATTCTTATCACCAATGAGCCAGCAAAGAGCTAGAAGTGGAGGTGTGGCTCAAGTGGTAGAACTCTAGCCTTGAAACAGCCAAGTGAGAGCATAAGGCCCTGAGTTCAAGGCCCAGTGTTAGCATAAACGTACGCAGACATACAGATATACAGGAGGCACAGTAGAAAGCTAACAGGAACTAATAAATCATTCAGGGCTTCTAAAGTAATTATTTCTCTTATTTTCCTTTTAATTCTTTTCTTTTTGGGGGGAGTCCGGTCGTGGGGCCTGAACCCTGGGCCTGGGTAGCTCAAGGCTAGCGCTCTACCACTTGAACCACAGCGCCACTTCCGGCTTTTTTCTATTTTTGTTTATGTGGTGCTGAAGAATTGAACCCAGGGACTCAGGCATGCAAGGCAAGCACTCTACCACTGAGCCATCTTCCCAGCCCCCTTAATTCTTTTTTTGTTTTCGGTCATGGGTCTTAACTCTGGGCCTGGGCGCTGTCCCTCAGCTCTTCAGCTCAAGGCAAGTGCTCTACTGCTTGAGCCACAGCATCACTTCCAGTTTTCTGGTGGCTTACTGGAGATAAGAGTCTCATGGACTTTCCTGCCTGAGTTGGCTTTGAACCTTGGTCCTCAGATCTCAGCCTCTCCTGAGTAGCTAGGATTACAAGCGTGAGCCACGGGCACCCGGCCTCCTTTAAATTCTTTTGTTACTCTTCTCTCCTCCCTCATCCCCTGTCTGGGTCCTGAGACTTGAACTCAGGGCCCAGACCATATCCCTAAGCATTTTTGCTCAAGGCTAACACATTACCACCTGAGCCAGGCTCCCCTTCCGGCTTTTTTTGGAGATTAATTAGGGATAAATAAGAGTCTCATGCATGGTCTTTCCTCCTTGGGCTGCCTTCAAACCGTGATCCTCGGATCTCAGCCTCCTGAGTAGCTAGGATGGAAGGCGTGAGCCACCAGTGCCCAGCTTTTGGGTCACTCTCGGCCGAGCAAGGGACGACTGGGCTGCGTGACGAGGCCGTGGGCTCCACACAGCCACCTACGTGCCCTCCGGTCTCTGCAGGTGCTGTTCGAGGACGCCGTGTCCCACATCTGCAGGATCAACCGCATCCTGGAGGGCCCGCGCGGGAACGCCCTGCTGGTGGGCGTGGGTGGCAGCGGGAAGCAGAGCCTCTCCCGCCTGGCCGCCTACATCAGCGCCCTGGACGTGTTCCAGATCACGCTCAAGAAGGGCTACGCCATCCCAGACCTCAAGGTGAGGGCGCGAGTCAACTGACGCTCGGGGAGGAAGAGAGGGGAGCGCCACCCCCCCCCAGACACCGTGTCACCACGCCACCACACACACCGTATAACCACACCACCATACCATCATCCCACAGACACCGTGTTACCACACCACCACACACACCGTGTCACCACACCACCACGCCACAGACACCGTGCTACCACACCACCACCACGCCACCGTCCCACAGACCATGCTGCCACCACTTCCTTCACACAGACAGCAGGCCGCCGCACTGCCATCCTTGCCCCAGGCAGGAGAGAGCAGCTGGCTACGCCAGGGCGCCTAGCTGCCGTCCCATGACGTCCACAGCATCAGAGAGGCCAAGGGATTTGGCTCCCAGTCACTGGGCATCCTAAGTTGTCCCCAGTTCTCCAGATTAAAGCACGCAAAGCCAACTGGTCACCGAGGTGCACACCTGTCATCCCAGCCCCTCAGGAGGCTGAGATCTGAGGACCACCATTCAAAGCCAGCCCAGCCAGCGAAGTCCAAGAGTCTTTATCTCCAATGAGCCTTCAAAAAGCCAGATGTGGAGCTGTGGCTCAAATGGTAGAGTGCCAACCTTGAGCACAGGTCCTGAGTTCAAGCCCCGGAATAGGCGCGCACACACACACACACCACACACACACACACACACCACACACACCACACACACCACACACACACACCACACACACAGATCAGACACAGACACACACACACACACACCACACACAGACACACACACACACCACACACACACACAGACACACACACCACACACACACAGAC